ATTTAGCTTAGTCTTCTATTGCTTGTCTACTTCTAATTTTTGCTAGAGTTGTTTCTTCTTTTCTCATATTTATTGTCTTTGATCTTGCTCTTGTTTCTTGAGTGGATCAGAGTTGTATTTGTATATTTGATGTTGTGCTAGAGTTTTCTTGAGTTATCATTTTCTTGAATTTGTTTTCTTGGTTTTTTTTTTTATTGTCTTTCGTTTGTTGTGTTCTTCTTGAGGAAATGTTATGTAGTTCTAGAATCATGTTCTGTAGACTAACATGATCTTATGTATTGGTATTTGTGTTGCTATGTTGTCCTCGGCTCGATAAAGTTGATCAATCTTCAACAAGGTTGTTGCTTGCCAACTTTGGGATCGAACACAAATGCATACTATGGCTATTCTTTTTACGAGTCTTTGTTGTGTTAAATTGTTGTAAAGTAATTGTAGCCTACCTTTAATTGGGTTGTATAAAGTCGTACACATGCTCACTATGAGCGTCCGCATTCTCCAATTGATAGTGATGTTCAAAAAGTCTAAGCTGAGTAATGGTTGTATTTTAAATATTGTTGTCCTCAAGATTGTTATTAATATAGGTTTTTAGATTTTTGATTCTTATATTTTTTATCTTCGATCGCTGTCCATGCTTCAATTAACTGTTATTTTTATTCCCCATCGTCCCCAAGGGACCTCCACTTGTTAAATCCTTAGTATTTGATTTTTTTTTGCTTGGTTGCTTCTTAATAGCTCATTTGATAAATGTATATTTTCATTTTCAATAATGTGAAGAAGAAATGCAAGTGTTTATTAGTATGGTAGATGGTATACTATTATCAAAAGAGTTTGGGATAGTTTCCATTGAACTACACTACCTATTTCTAACTTACTTGAAACATCACCAAAAGAAGAGATTGAGATTCCAATATAATCCCACCCTAAAGTTATGTTGTGTAGAGCATCTTGAGGGTCTACAATAATAACTAGTCCCTCAGGCACAACTACATGTATAGCATCCACTATCTTCACAAAACATTTATACCATATATTACATATATACCATATAGCTTTATATCTATAGAAGAACAACCAGAGTTAGGGATATTCTTACCTTCAGAAATATTTTTGCTCTCTATCTTCTGTGAAATAATATTTTCATCATTATTCCTTTGTGTTCCAATTGTATTTCCCTAAGAGATTTTGGTAGGAAATATCTCTATTGGAGACATCAATTGATTCTACTTCTATATAAAAAACCCATTAGCATCCAACTCACCTATAAAGGGGGAGTAATTCGAGTTAAACACCTTAATAATGCAAAGAAAAACACATCTAACTCTTAAAGAAGCACAGTGACAAATGCAAGTAGCATCTAAAGATTCTATTCTTCTCTTTGCAATTGATCCTTCATTATCCCAAACAATCTCTATTACATCTCCTTTTCACAACTTGAGAAAAACAAAGAAAATTACAAATATCAAAACATAAATAGAAGGAAAAAAGTACAAAAAAGACAAGCAAATAGGAAATTAAAAAACAACGCTCCTTTTGTGAATATGAGAAAACAAAACATGAAAATATGTAGCAAAAATAATTAAAAATGCATAAAATAAGCACACACAAAGTCAAAGAATTTCTAGTATGCACTTGCATGCTAAAGACCCAATTTAATGTATTGATGAAAGAATATGAGCTCACAATAAACCAAAGTCAAATTAAGAGAGAAACAGATTGGTAAATGCAAGTTTGTAAAATGACTAGAGAAACAAGAGTTACTTTGAACAAGCATGGTCTCACACTCATTCTTAAAAAATGTAAGGATTTCTAACACTCTCTCTCTCATGGTCTCTTGTTTTTTTAAGCTAGCATGTGGGCTCATGCCTAGCCAAACTCAAATTTGAGTTTCTCCAAAGAAGCTTGAGATTTCTTGGCATGCACTTGTACACCTATAGACCAGTTTTGGATGACTCTCTCTTGTAAATCTTTGTTCTTTTGTTTTGAGATTTCTAGGCATGCGCTCTCATGCCTATACACAAGTATGGGATGACTCTCTTATAAATACACTACACTATCATATAGTCTCATGCCAAGCAATACTAAAATACAAATGTATATTCTTTATAATAATGGAAACCATATGTTTTGAGGAAAGAAAAACTTACCATGGCCATAAACAAGCCAAAACAGGGTGGGAGACATATGTGCTTAGGATGTGCTAAAGAGGAAGGAAAAATGCCTCCTAAGATGTGATCCATGAACCAGTAGTGGTGAACCCAAGAGAACCCAAATAATAAAACCTAAGAAAAAACCATAAGGCTAAGAGGGTGAAAGAATTGAAATGCAAGAGTAGTGCTGTCATATAGTTCAAGAAGAGACTCCATAAAAAGTTTTTATAAAAAATGAGATAACTAGAATTTTTTTAGTATTTATTGAAATTGTGTTTACAAGATTATATAATGAGAATCGTGGCTTGAAATTTATTATTGAAGACTATATGTTGCATATGTCGTAGTTTATTACTCTATTTTATTCTATTTATATTCTATGTTATATTTTACAGTTTTCATTTTAAATTTTATTGTTTTATAGAATTTAATTCCTGAATTATATTGTTTGATCCATTTTATTTATCTTGCTTCCTAGCTTCGCTCGTGGCTCCAAAGAATCACCCCAGCCAAAAAAATCCCTCCTTCCACGACTACTACCTCGCTACACTGTTCTACCAGAATCCACCCACTACTACTTACTTGTGGAGTGTGATTTACAATTCCACCTCTTGCAAGTAGTCTCCAAACACTCCGGACGAACTGGCAGCTTCGAATCCCACTGTGCCGGACTGTTGATGGTAGTGCCAATGAATCAAACTTTCCTGGTGTTGGTTTTGCTGCTGCTGCTCGACCATCACTGGCAGAGTGACTTCCAGAGCTGGGAGGTGGCGGCAACGAGATGGTCAACGGTGCTGCTGGATAGTGATTCAAATAGAACATTGCTGGCGAAGAGCCGCTCGAGAGATGATCAGGCGTTGGCCCCGGATCGTTTCTCATATCCTGTACAACCGGCTGAGCGAATGCTGCTGCTGCAAACGGTCCATTCCCGTTTGAGAATGCCGTGTCGGGGACAAAGGCCGGTGCCGAGGAAGGATCCACCGAATGGTTGCTGTTGATATCTGGAGCAGCGGCAGCAGCGGCCGCAGGCACGAAAAATCTCGCTGCAGCCAAAGGCTTTGCGCTTGCCTTTGGCACCACGCCAAACAGTGGAGGAGAGTCCGATGATGTCTTGGATGGTGTTATGCTACCTTTGCTGAATGTATCGACATATCTGCAAAAACCTCGTGAGATTGGAGTGCTGGGAATGACCAAAACGATACCTTGATCTAATGTTTTGACGTGCGCGAGCTGCGTACTGGTTACTGCTCGGAGGCATTGGTGGGATTCCACTCACAACCGGTTGCGGCCTTTCCGGAGTTGGCCGTCGCCTCTCCGGAGACATGGAAATAGGAGCGCCGTTCTCCTCCACGCGCGAGACGAGCTTGTTTGCCGTGGGAGGAGGAGCCAACGGAAGCTCTGGCGCTTGTGCCTCGGCTCCTTCTTCAACCCAGCGCTTCAGTGTCTCGTCGTATCTAAACTTGTTGCTGTCGCCAAGCTTTGCCTGCATCACGTACCAACCATCAATCAGCTAGCGCTCTTTCCAAAGCTTTTACAAACCTCCTTCGAAGGTGTTTTTATGAAGCCCATCACTCTTTGCACGAAAGAAGTAAAGACGCCTCTGTTTGGCGTTCCTTTCGCTGGACTAACGATCTGATGAAAGAATACAAGTCTTAATCGAAGGTACACAAGAGCAAGTCGAGTTACCTGTGCAGGCCTAAAGTCAGGCTCAGAAATGCTTCTTGCTGGCATGTTGGATCTTCTCGTATTATCACTTATGGGTTCCATTGATGCCGACGAGGCAAGTGATACACTAGCTGTTGCAGGACAGTTATTAATATCAGCATATCAGAAGCTTTCGGGGAAGAAGGGCTTATCATCTTGTGTAGACCAATATTGCCAAAAAACCGTTGCACAATTGACGTCGAGCCTCCCTGGATAACAGGAAAGTGAGTATAAAAGCCGAGTGTCCGATTACAAACCTGAGAGTGGATACGAAGACGCTCTTCCAAGGCTACAGCCGCTTCTTTGCACACATCAGCTGCATGGCCCACTGTTTTCAAAGAGAAACCTTAAGGATACACACTACCAACCTTAAAGCTTCGTTTATCTTTCCAGCTTCAGCAAGCATCGACGCATAAATAAGCTTGTATGGCTGAAAAGGAAGTAAAATAAACTGGGAATTGCCGGTCATTCTTGCAAATTCGTACACTTCCATTCGCTGATGAAGAAAAGGTTAACAATTGTTATTGAGGACAAACACGGCTTACCTGGATAGCTTCTGGACTAGCGTACGTGCGTGGAAACAATGGTCGGCAGCTATAAGACAAAGTCTGGCAGAAGTAGAGAAAGGCTCAAAACTAGCATTTGGAACACGATAGCAAATATGGGCTCCACATATCTGCAAGTTAAAACTATGAGAAACATCAACGTGTGACCGTGTATATACCTCATCTCGATGTCTCCAGCGACAATCACCAAGATGCATAACCACTCTCTCGTCCCCATTAGTTCGGTTAACTGCCATTATAGCCAGGTTTTCCTGCCATTCTTCGAGCATTCCTTCTACTGCGTCCTGCAAGTCAACATGCACTCCTTAAGCAAGAGAGCAGCTTGATAAAAGTATTTCACCTGTGTTGCACCATCTACAGCGGACGCTGGAACCGGTTGAGGTTGAAGCGCTGTTACGTTCGACGAATTAGTGTTCCCTACGAACACTCCAGCATGTTGACCAGCATAAAGAAGAGTTAGAGTCCGGAGGGTTGAAACTGACGTTGAGCCATCTCCACTATAGTGTGTAGAACTATTAAAAACCACAAGACCATCACTAACGGTCTCTACAAGACTAGGTACCTTCTCTCCCAGCTGCCGGGCCATAAGAAGAGCACATCCCCAAAGTTGCCCGTCTTGGGCAGCCCGTAAAGCCTCTTTCTGCTTTCCGGGAATCAGTAGCCTTTTCACCTCAAATGCAGTTGCCTGTCGCCAGAAAGTCTTTGTTTGTATCAACTCAAGAGAAAAAGACTGCCCAACCTGCATTTGCTGTTCGGTTGGAGTTGTCTGTAGACAGCGAGAGCCAAAAGCCCATGACTCTTTATGTTCTCAAACAAAGCCTCGGCTACTTCCAAATGCCCTTCCCTGGCAAATGCTGTGACGAAGGCAGTCTGCGCAACGATCGTCTTCACGGGCATCCGATCAAACAAATCCTTGGCAGAAGCTATCTTTCCAGTGCGGATGCAAAGCGTGATCATCACATTTCAAGAGACCTCGTTCTTCTCTGGAGCCAATTCGAAAATCTCTCCCGCTTTATCAAGATGCCCGTTGTCGGCATATGCCGTGACGATCGAGTTCCACGTCGAGGCATCTCGCCGGAGCATCCCATCGAACGTTCTGCCCGCTCGATTTAGATATTTCGCCTGTGCGTAGGCCTGGATCATGATTTTGGAGGAGAAGAGCTTAAGATTCTCTATGGATTCGAAGATTGCACGGGCGTCATCGACGCTGCCGCATTTGCCATACATCTGGACGAGCAGATTCGCGAGGTATTTGTTGCGGCGGTGCTCGCTCTGCGCAATGCGGGCGTGGATTTGCCTCCCCTGTGACAGATCCCGGCAGTTCTTGAGCAGTGCTCCCCAGGAGAGCAAGCAATCCTCTGAGGTGTCTGTGGAAATGGGGAAGAGCAATGCCATAAACTTTGCTGGATCTCACATGCATTCGCGATTCGCGAGGTATTCCTTGCGAGAATCCGGGCGCGACCTCCACAGCTCTTGAGAATCCTGGACGGAGAAAGAACATTCCAATCTAGCTTGGAGATCACGGCTAAGAAGAAGAAGATAATCCATCTTGCCTTGCAAGAACAAGGACACCCTGGAAGAAGCAAAGATTTTACTCTCTGGTGAGAATTCCTCTACTCCACTGGGCTTATAAGATTGGCTCTCTCCTCCATTCTCTATAGCAATGAATTTCCATCTCTCTTTCTTGCTCCTCGAGATACTAGTGTTCTAGGGAGCTGTCGCCCTAAATTCGCCCCCATCGCTCCCTCTCCGCCCAATTCCCTCATGGCGCCAGCTCCAGTTCCACTCGCGCCGCCTCTCGATGTTCTTCCACTTCGGCGTCAACACATTCACGGACTCGGAGCGTGGATCCGGCCACGAATCGCCCTCCATCTTCAACCCGGAGCGATTGAATGCGTCGCAGTGGATGGACGCGGCCCAATCCGCGGGCGCGCAGCTCGTGATCCTCACGGTCAAGCACCACGACGGGTTCTGCCTGTGGCCCTCGGCCTACAAATCTCTCCGTGGCTAGCAGCTCTTGGCGAGGAGGGAAGGGGGATGTGGTGGCCGAGTTCGTGGCCGCCGCCAGGGAGCGTACGTGGGCTTTTACCTCTCGCCATGGGATTTGCACGAGAGCTGCTATGGCGACACTCTTCTCTACAACGAGTTCTACTTGCCTCAGCTCCCAGAGCTTCTTACTGGGTGAGTGAGACATTCTTTGCTTCTTCTTCATGCATTTTTCTTGGTGGCATGATCACTGTGTGATATGTTTGCATTTGCTCCAGCCCATCAAACGGTTTTAGCATTAGGAGCTCGCGAGCTTGTGGGCTTTTGTAGTTTTCATCTCTAGCAGCAGATGCCTTGACGAGGCATTTTGTTTTGGCGTGCAGATATGGGCCGATCTCCGAGGTGTGGCTGGATGGTGCGAAATCACCCAGTGCAGTGAACATGAGCTACGATTTTGAGCTCTGGTTTGACATGATTCATCCCCGGTGCCAACATCTTTTCCGACGCTGTCCCCGACATCTGATGGGTTGGGAACGAGTATGGCGAGGCCGGACAACCATGCTGGGCGATGGCGAACAGATCTTCCATTACGATCGGCAGGAGCGATGGCCAGTACGTAAAATCCATCCTTCCATGAAACTTTCGTTCTCGTGAAACTCGATCCAATTCGCAACATCAACAGGTACTTGATGTCTTGAGAGAGTGCTGGAACCGACTGGCTCCCTCTGGAGTGCGATATGTCCATCAGGCCCGGTTGGTTTTGGCACAGGAACGAGGCTCCAAAATCCCTGGAGCAGCTGCTCGACGTTTTCTACAAATCATCCACCAGGAACTGCTTGCTTCTGCTCAACGTCCCTCCAAACTCGTCGGGACTGATCGACGAATCCGACTTCCAGACGCTGGAGCGGTTTAGCTCCGCCATAGATTCCATCTTCAGCGTCAACTTAGCAGCGAATCCCTTGTCCGTGACAGCAAGCAGTGTTCACAGCTCTTCATTCGGGCCGAAGCAAATCCTTGACGAGCGTATGGAAACTTTCTGGGCTCCAATGCAAGGGGAGTCGACCGGCTGGATCGAGCTTGATCTTGGCAAGGTCTCAAAGTTCAACGCACTGGAGATCCGAGAGCGAGGGATAAAGGGTCATGGAATATCACGTCAAGGCATGGGACAGCGAGCTGGGCTGGTACCTGAGGAGCAACGGTAGCACCATTGGTTACAGGAAAGTGGATCAACTGGAAGAGGATCAAGTATGCACTGCTTGCCTCGTTTGACTGTTGATTGACGCGTCGCAGAGAGATCCATTGATCTGCTTCTTTGGTTTGTACTTCGATATGTACAACCTCAGGCACTTGTCTTTTATTTAGAAGAGAAACTAAAACATGATATACCCTTTTAAGTGGATCAAGACATCATCAATAAAGTCAACAGTCATCTCGGCATATTATAGAAAATATGAGTATTTGCCTAGCAAATGCTATGGTGCTGCTCATGCACCACAAGCAATGAAGCCCTATAAGTGCATGGCATAACACCTGTCACCATGCCCTCTTCTCTTCCCGGCCACATGTACATCCCACTCATTGGCCACCACAACATTGAGCCAATATTCCCACTAACCATGGCCACTGGTCCTGGCCCAAACCTGGGGTGGCCTCCCCTTGCCGAGAACCATGGCTTCCAAGGCTGCCCCGGGCCTGGGATCGGATGGCTGTGGGGGTCTGGTGCCTTTGTTCTTATTATTATAGATATTTCATGGATATACTTTTCAGGTATGAGAAACATAGCTTTGGGTTGGAAATCCCTGGCCTGATCAATAACAGTCTCTTTGCATCACTCCTAACAGATTGGAGCCTAGAGAACAACAAAAAAATATCAAGAGATAGCCCTCTACCCTTTGAGCTCGTGGAAAGTACCCTTGCATGGAGGTGGTAGCTGGTTAAACTTGAGAAGTTAGCTTGTCTGGAGGACTTCTTGTTGCTCTTGCATCCTTGCCACAAAATCACATTTGCAAACATGAATGATTATAAGGTGGTGGAGGATTGGTTTTATAATAACTTTTAAGCATTACTATTATTGAGCTCAGAGAAGGTCTTATATGCTAAATTATACTTGGAGATAATGTTAAGCTTTGGTGGAGAACAACAGAGGTTAATAAAGGACTAGTGGCCACTTGAGAAATGATAAAAATGAGGATCCGTACAACTTATATATCCAAACATTGAACTAGTAGTTCTCATATTTAAAAGCTTTGAAAATAAATTAGAAACATCTTTTTGCCGAAACCCTCAGTCAACTATATGTAATCAACGTGATGACCATTATTAAAATGCTTTTAATTTATAAACACAAACTTATTCTACATAAATATCAACAATTAAATTATAGAACATTCAAGAATACCCAAGTATATCCTATGTTGGTTTGCTTAAGCAAACCAAAAATATAGTGCCTAAATTGAAGAAATACTCAAAGGTGTAAATGACTATAACTTAACTAAAGCCATAAAAGATAGGTAAATAAAGAATATAAATTTAACAAAATTGATATGTGTGCAAATACTAAACAGGTCATACACCTTATGGGTTCTTTTGCAAATAGCCTGCAGAAAATAAGCTATTAAAATAAATATTTGATTTGTAAAGAATACTTGATGCATAAAAAATATGAGCTTATATAACACTTTTTCTCCATCTAGCGAGGACAAAGTAGCAATCTATTTAAATTATAACTCGATGTAGATTAAAATCACTAAAGGATGATCCTAATGATTCAAAACAACTATTATACTTGTCTCAAAAGGCTAGCAATATTCTATCTGAATACCAATCCTGGATTTGGAATGATGCTAGACTGGAAGATTAAAGGGAACTGAAGTATATCTCTAGTTGAGTCTAGTATTCCTAAGAGTTTAAGAATGATTAAGATTGTACTCCAATATGTTAGTTTTGAAAAATTTCATATACTTATATTCCATGATATTGGAAGAGAAGGGAATAGATTGGTCACGAAACATTGAACAAGTGCTAGTTGCCATTGAAGAAGCGATATTGCCCTATACAACAACATTATATATAAAACTCCACCCTGCAGAATAGAAAGAAAGTTTTCAAAGGGAATGGATGAGTAGGAAATGGCACTTGTGATATTTCTTATTTCCAATTGGAAGAATTGTTTGGGATGTTGAGCATCCCTGATTGCTATGCTAGATAATATGTTTGATAACATATGTCAAATTTCTCATCATCAAATTAGTTAACTATCCTTCATTATGCATATATTAATTCCTAAAGCTCTCCAAGGATTTTGTTCTTGACAGATTATGGCATTGACTTTGCGGAAGATTTGATAAGTTTCCTTGTAAAATCGCCTTGCATACATGCTTTGCAAAGAACAATCCAGTCAACATAGATTAAGCCCATCATAAAAGTGGGCCAATTGTCTTTAAACTTAATTCTCTGTATCAACATCCAATGAAGCCTTCGTAAATGCTAGCCATCAACGAATTGGCTGAGGCCCAGCTCCAGCAACATGCTGTGCAATGCTTCACAAGTGGAGAGGATAACATATGGAACACAGAGAGGAGAACATGTCGGGAGGCAACGAGGGAGATAGGATACAAAAGGAAGGCAATGGGAACGAGCTATCACCTTACTGCAATGAGCCCATCTCCACCCGCGCCTCAAACGCAAGCTTTCCACACCACTACTTCCCACTTTCAACAAGAGCTCATGAGAGACTTCCACGGCTCACTCTCACCAGCATGGTCTTGAGAATCTGGATTGCCACGCCTAGCATGGCACTGATGTGGAGCAGGAGCAGCGCAGTGCTGCTGCTGAAATTCACAACAGCCATTGGATCTGACTATAGCAAATCCATTGCACTTAACATTCCAGATGCATGGGACACCACGATACGTGAGAGGCGGAGGACTATGCTCCTCATGAAGACTCTCCTATGCTCAATCCTCTGTGCGTCCCGCTCTCCATCCATGGGGGATGGGGCGGCTCACGAAATGGCTGGATATCAACGATCGATGTTTGGGTCAACACATCAAGTCTGAACTGCTCTGAAGATGTTCTCCAGCATCACATAAGGCAATGCATCACTCACAACGCTGGACTGGCACGTAAATTCCGCAGCATGCATCCCTCGATTCATCTCCCCGTGGTTTTTACACGCGGTAAGAAACGTTGCCCATGCAACTCCATCAGCTGGCAAAGGCATTCTCCAGGACATCCTCGGCCTCTTCCAATTGCCGTCCTAGAGCATCAACAATGCAGGTGTAGTGGTCTTGCGAAGGATCCAATCCATTGTCAAAGCTCATTGCCGTGAAGTAGCTTACTGCTTCCTTGACAAGCCCCAGATGGCTACATGCCGTCAAAACGATGGCAAACGCTGCCTTGTCGGGATCAAAGCCGTGAAGAAACATCGCCCAAAAGAGCTGGATCGCAGAATACGCATGGCTGGTCTGGGCATATGCTGCTAGCGTCGTGTTCCAGGAGACCAAATTCCAAGTTGGTATTCTATCAAACGTCTTCTTTGCCTCACAAATATTTGCATCTAAAGCGCATACCACGAGAATTGTGTTCCATGAATAGGAATCCCAGCAGCAACACAAAGAAAACGCTCATATAGCGTCTTTGAAACGACCTCTCTGGGCATAAACAGCGATTATCCAAGTTCCATGAAACAAGATCTCTGTGTGGCATTGCTTCAAACAATTGTTTTCCTTG